GTCTCCTTGCCCTGTGTTGGGCTTCACAGATATACTGAGAAAAGTGCTCTCCTCAGCTCGGCAGCTTAAGACTCTTCTGAAGTGTGGAACATTCCACACAGTTTGAACTGACCCACTACACTTTACAATGCTATACGTCGTGTGACTTTATGTGTTTTGTGCGTATAAGCAAGGTTCATAGGCTCCTGGTGCATAAAGTATTTGAACTAAACAGGAGGCCACTCTCCAACTCACTGTCATCATTAGTGAAAAATGCCCCTTCATTTCCTAACATTAGCCTCATCTTTGAAGCTGTGCTTCTCCCATTACAGAGAGGCATGTTCAGTTAAGCCACAGGTAGGTCTGTGCATTCAGTGGTTAAATAAAAGTTCCATTAATGCATAACATATGAACCAAATTCCCACAATACAGAAAAGTCACTCAGCCCCACACAGTCAGGTGCTTTATCTGGTATTACAGGAGCAACATGAAGTTATGAAATGCCAGTCAACCCTAAACTGTTCTGGCACCACACAACATCACTGTGCTTCTTTGGTGACGCTGGAAGCCTGGGAAAGAGCTGGGCAGCCAGGAAGCTCGTATACACATTTGAAGAATGAAAGGCTTGTAAAGACATGTACAGGTTTAGCATGGAAAACCTGAGGAAAATAGGAAGACGAACAGTGAATAACATTTTTCACAGAAACAAATTCTGCTTTTGGGAGTGTAACCTTCCGGTTCCTTTCAAAGTATGCTGTCAGTTTATCATTTTGTTTCTTCATGGTGGGACTTAACAAGACACTGAGGAGAAACATCTGTCCAGTATAAACTAAATGATGCCGGTGCATACTGTCCTATGTCTTATTCAACACCCGCATTATTCAGGATATTCTCTCCATGTTTTCCAACAACAAAGTCAGACAGCATCAGCTTTTCAGAGTGCTTCCTCTCCACTAGTTTGTTTCTTCCCCCTTGCTCGACATGTGACATACAATTGAAGCTGTCTTGTGTCTCACACTTCAGGTGCAAAATCCTGTTTGGTTGAAGCCATTTCTTCTCTCTGGGCTTACATATACTTCACTTAATCCAAATGCCATTCTTACAGTTGAACCCTTCTGTATTGAGCGGCACACAATCTGGTTGTAATATTGTGCAACATTTACAAAAACAGGCTCAGACACCGGCAGAACTATCATAATACTGCGCTATGATTTTGATGCTTTTTATTTTGGGTTATACCCATTTGTTTGCAAAGTCTAGTGAAAGACCAGCTGACACTAGTCAGAAGCTGTTTTATCTCTTCTCCCCTCTTCATGTGTAGGTGCTTCTACCTCCATATGATGACAGCGTCAGTGTCCCTCCGAAGCAGGCTCCTCCACTGCCCTTCACTGCTACAGCATGAAAACAGTCCCAGGATCCTGCTGTTAATAAAGCCCCAGAAAAATGTATGCACTGCACTACCTTTCCAGTATACAGTCAAATTATGGATATCGTAGATCCACACACATTACAGTACACCCATGCACACACTGCCACGTCTCTCACACACACATTTGTGCTTGTGCACACTACTACCACCACCATGACCTCCCCATCCCTTCCTGTTATTTATTGGTGAATTCATATTTTTAGTGTGACTTCCATGAATCGTTTCCGTCTGTTAGTGTAATTCCAGAAATGATGGGCACTTTTATCTGAATCTGCCTATGGAAGCACTAGAAACTTTGATAGATGATAGATTATATATATTTGTATTAATTCTATTTATGCTCTGTGTGTATTTGTGAATTGTGACTTTGATATGCATAATGAACTTTTATGCACAAAACCGACGACGGTATTGCTCACAGGACTGAGTGAAGAGTCGTCAGGTGTCCCTGTTTGTCTCATCTGCATTTGTGGTCACAGTTGGATTGCCTTTATTCAGAACGTTCTTGCTGATGGGGGTGCGTTTTATAGACTCGTGTGTGAAGCGCCACCTTGACTGGAAGTTTTCCCAAGGAAAAGCATCTGCCTGTGTTCTGACATAATCAAAGAGCAGTAGTGCAGAACACATCACACCTTCCTGCCTTGTTGCTCAGCTGCAGACAGAATTGTATTGTGTTATAAAAATCAGCAGTGTTGGGTTGTGCTGTCTGACTCATATAACTTTTAAAAGTAACTGTGTGTTTGTGCTGATTGATGACTCATGTCTGCCTACTATTTATCTGTTTTGACAGCACTGAAGTAGCGCTGATCTGGAATCAGCTTGCTCCTTAAAATCACTGAATGATTTGCAAGAGGGAACCTGGGGTGATGGTTAGATTGGGCCTCTCTACATTGAGGAGCTCAATAAATATGGACCCCGGTTGTGGTTTTTCTATTAAGCTAATAGGAGCTTCTGGTCTGTGTGCACGAGTCTGTTTCACCAGATGTGGTTATTAGCCAGCTGTTCCCTGGACACAACATGTTTTGCAAGGATATAAAAGTCAAACCTGAGGACTGCTGCTGTATGGAAATTAAAGATGTAACATTTGTTTATTAAAATCTAATTCACTGACAAATGTTTGTGTTTTATTTTAGAGGTCGAGCTTGCGTGAACTCAAAAGTAAGTTTGTGTCTCAGGGACAATTTCAGGTATATTACTTAGCAGTATTACTGAGCAAGGTTTAGGACTCACCCACATCACTTACATTTTAATATTAAATATTTAGGGCTCTGAATGTGTAGAATTAAACGGTTCAGTCAGTAAAAGTATCTGAAAGTGATTGAAATCCACAAAGTTGCTGTTTTGCCAGCAGACTGAGCTGAACAAGAGGTGTCCCGTTGGTTGAAATCAGAGGGGGAGTAAATGGAGAAACAGAGAGTGAAAGAAATAAGGGGCAGAGCAACGAAAGAGCCTGCACAGATGCAACAAGACTGGGCTGGGACATATGGATGTTTACAGTGTGGAGCTACTGGACTGACACATCTTTACTGCTGGAACCTGGTGTTAGGATTCCTGAGAGACTTCGTTTGTGGGGATTGAGAAACTGGTTTTGACAAAGTAAGTAGCTTGAATTGTTTTTCAGATGAATCTCTGCACTTCACACTACTTGCATATTTGCACTATTTTCATTTAAAAGAACAAATTTTCTTTACATGGTAAACATGGTAAGAAAAGGAATCACTAGCTGTCACCTGTGTTGTATTTACTGGGTTAGGAAATGACTTAAATCAGCATCATGAAAAGCCATCAAAGTGAATGTGCAAAACAGAGATCATGTCCCATGTGACACTGTCAGATACATGGTGTTTTTGTATTTCCTAGTAAACACACTACCTTGGCTTTAATTCATGAGAAAATGTCAGAGGGGTTGTTCTGTGATGGAAACGAGCCATTTCAGTCACACACAAAACTGACATCTGTAATTACTCATATCTATTTAAAAAAATGTATTGATGCTTTCTTTCCAGGTGGGGTATCAGCTGTTTTTCATAACCATTCTTTGTTATTTTGGAAGTGTTTTTTAACATTGTATGCATATGAATTTGTTAATCTGATGACACATCAGTAAAGGACAGAGTAGAGCAAAGTAAAGATACCACGGCGCTACGTGGTTGTTACAGTGACTGTTAGTGAAGAAAACACTGTCAGACCTGTGGCAGAGACATCAAACAGATGTGAGATCAGAGGTCAGCAGCTCTGTGTAGGGTGCAACATGGATATGTGGCCCTTGCAGGGTGGGACCGTACCAGAGCTGTGAACAGACAGAGCTGCAGGAAATGAGCTCTTCAGAACTCCATTTAGAAATCGCAAATTCTGGAAGTTTACATGCTGCCTCAGAACAGAGGTTCCTCCTGTGCCACGTCACTCTGTTTTTGGATGTGGATCTTTTTGTTATTTTATGCACTGATCACTTCAGATGGCAGCGAGTCCTCCGCTCTGAATATGACAGCCAGTGAATGGCTCTCCTGGGGACTGGATAAGGAAATGATATGTGGTGCTGCTCAGCCTCCCTTAAATCATGTCAAAGCACCTGTGCAGCAAATCATCCAGAAACTCGCTCATATGGAAGTTTTGTTGACATCATATGATGGCTGATGGGAAAACATGACCCTCCTGTGTTGCCCACACTTTTTCAGAAACATAATTTAAAGTGGAATTCTGTATAAATTAATAAGTAAATATCCAGGATAAAATATTATAAAAATAACACATTTTCTTAATTAAATAACATTTATTTTATTTTTTCAAATCTTTTAAATTTTTTTTTTTTTTTTTAGTTTCCTTCCTGCCTTGTTGCTTTGTACTTGTCCATGCAGGAGTGTACTCTGCTACCACTAGACTGTGGGAATGTTTCTACCAGCTCTTGTCTTTGTACCATTATGTCTCTATAAGCACTACAGTTGGCACCTCTTGTCAGGATGAGGTCCCTGGCCCTCGGCCTCTTCTGCCTGCTGTGCTGTAATGCAGTGCGGCTGGACAGACGCCGTCCCAGACCTAGCGCAGCCAAGAGGCAAAATGAGACTGCTGTCCAAACCAGAGCAGGGGGTAAGAGATTAGTTGGTGACCAGAAGGTGTGTTTTGTCAGCTGCACTTTGCCTATTTCTGTCTAAGATACAAAGTCAAAGAGTTACATTTTGACTTAACAACCTACCTCCATGTCTTTAATCACAGAGAACCCTTGCAAAGCTGTCCCACTGGATTTCGTGTTTGTCATTGACAGCTCTAGAAGCATCCGTCCCCACGACTACGAGAAGGTCAAGACTTTCATCATGAACCTGCTTCAGTTCCTTGAAATTGGCCCTGATGCTACACGAGTTGGTCTCCTCCAGTACGGCAGCGTGGTCCAGCCCGAGTTCTCCCTCAACACCTACACTAATAACGTTGAAGTGGAGCAGGCAGTGAGGAGCATGAAGCACCTCGCCACAGGGACCATGACTGGGCTTGCCATCCAGTACACCATGGAGACTGCCTTCACTGAGGAAGAGGGAGCAAGACCGGCAAACCTGCACATCCCACGAATTGCTATGATTGTGACGGATGGAAGGCCTCAGGACACGGTGGAGGAGGTTGCTGCTCAGGCGAGGCAGGCCGGCATCCAGATCTTTGCTATTGGAGTGGGCAGAGTAGATATGAACATTCTGAAGGCCATAGGGAGCGAGCCACACTCTGAGCATGTGCACCTGGTGGCCAGCTTCAGCCAGATAGAAACCCTCGTCTCTGTGTTCCAGTCCAAACTGTGTGGAGGTGTTCAATCACATCTACTTCTCTTTTTATTCTGTTGTTCCTCCTCATTAACACCGGCATGTGTGTTGCTATTTCTTTGAGTCTGTATGTCGGTGTATGTCCCTGCATGCATTAGGTTCAGAGATGTGTGCAGTTGTGGACCATCAGTGTCATCATATATGTGTCAGCAGCCCTGCCTCGTACAGGTGCAAGTGCTGGGAAGGCTTCACCCTCAACCCTGATGGCAAGACATGCAAAGGTGACAAACCCACAGAGAATTAGTCACCTCCCATCAAATTTGCAGAGCGTTTTAACATCCTTTGGGTCTTTTTTTTGTCCAGAATTTTGTGCTTTGTTTCACTCTCACAGCCCTCATCAACTCCACTTTTGCCAGCAGCAGGCCAGCACCAAACAGTAGACACTGTTAGGAATTAGTTGGTTAACCTACCAAAATGCCCTTACGTTCATCCAGTGGACACAGTGAGTGGCAAAGTGTTGACAAAGCTCTTTTCTGTTTTTCATCTAATGTAACCCAGAGATTGATCACTGTGCTGATGGCACCCATGGGTGTGAGCAGGAGTTTACGAACACTAAAGACTCCTGTGTCTGTAAATGCAGAAAAGGCTACACACTCAGACCTGATGGGAAAACCTGCAAGCGTAAGCATTAAATCTTTTGTCTACATACTTGCTGTTATTTTAAAAAAGAAACTATCTTTATACCTGTAGACCTACCAGCTGTTGAGATGATAAAGATTTATTAATTCACAGCATGTGCAATGCTGTAAACATTTATCTCTATTGTACCCATTCCACTAAAGCTGCTTTGTATCTGCTGGATATTTGTCCTGTAGCCATATCAGTTTAACATGTGATAAATGATATATCAGTTTGTGTTTGCAGCTTGTTTTACCTGAGCTACAGGTTTAATTCTGCAGACTTCTCGGTAGATGACAGTGGGATTTCTCTTCATGTTGTCATTCTGCAGCTGAGGATATGTGTGCTGTTGTGGATCATGGCTGTGAACACATCTGCGCCAGCCTGCCTGATGGCTTCGAGTGTCGCTGCTGGCCAGGGTATCAACTCAACAAAGACCACAAGACATGCAACAGTAAACATACATTTCTTACTTATCAGGAGTGCCTTGTTTTCTTCTTCATCACTAATGGCCTTTCTTTATTTCCTCTGGCTTTTACTGCAGACTGCATTTTAATATACAGTAATTGTCTCTAAGGCAATAACTTTAACAACCCTAACAACTACACTACTGTATGTTACCCAATTGCATAGGCATGAGATTTCCATCTTTTTCCTAGCTCACTGAATTTATCCCTTGAACTAGTTCAGATGAAAAATTTCAATTTGGACAGCACACACAGTGAGGTGTAGACCAGTGGGAGTCCATCAAAAGAAAATGCATTGGACTGGTCTTCAGCTTTATATCTCGCCTCTATTGGTGTCATCATCCAGTAATGTGACTTAGATCATCATGAATACTAAGTATACAAACATTTACAATAATCTTTTTAGAAAGGTTTTGATGCAGTATTATAAACTCCTAATGGGAGTACCTTTGTGCAACATACAGCATATGTGTGTGTTTGATGGCCCTCCAGTCATGCACCAGTGTTCCTCCTGCCAGCGACATCCCTCCACCCACTGTAAGAAAATGTCCATTTAGTTCTTCTGGTGGATATTAACAGAATGGAGTGGGCGAGATTTCCTGAAGAATGTGTGCTTTTGCAATTATTAGAGTAGCTTGTGAAATGTAAAGGTGTTTCCATGGTGTCAGTGTGTTACTGAATCAAACCAAGAATGATTATGTGATCTTTCCTGTTTTGTGTTCAGAGCTCTGCAACTTCACCAGAGTCCTTGAAGTCCTTTGATTAAGAGAAGGATAAATATATTAAAGATTATATTTATGCTAATGTTATACCAAGCATGTGTTAATCTAAAAGCCCCTGTTTATACAAAAAACAGTCCTACCATGACCTGGGGAGCCATGGCTGTGAGAATGACTGTGTTAGTGTTCCACACCTGCAGATGTAAGAAAAGCTACATCCTCAGTCTGGATGATAAGACCTGCACCAGTAAATTCTTAAAAGCTTTTGTAAATACAGTCTCATTACAGCAACAGCTGACCAGAGGAACAGATTAAGACAAGGTGTCACACACGTGCATGCTTTTCTAACTGAAAACTGCTTAGAACAGTCATGAAATGAAGTCTGACCATCTTAAGCTGCTACAGACAGTGAGTGGCAAAGTGATGACAAAGCTCTTTTCTGTTTTTCCTCTGATGTCGTCCAGAGATTGATCACTGTGCTGATGGCACCCATGGGTGTGAACAGGATTTTATGAACACCGAAGACTCCTGTGTGTGTAAATGCAGAAAAGGCTACACACTCAGACCTGATGGGAAAACCTGCAAAAGTAAGCATTGCATGTTTTTTCTACTTGCTTGCTGCTATTTAAAAAAAAATCCAAGTTGTCTTTACACTTGTAGATCAAACCAACTCTTGAAACAATGTGTTATTAATTTAAAACATTTGTAAGGCTGTGTATATTTCTATCTACTTTATCCATTCTGCATGGAGGATTTCTATAGTTTGTTTCTAAAGTGGAGCAACATTAATGCAAGTGTTAACAAGTGTAAGAAGAAACCTGAGTACTTTATGACTCTTGTAAAGACTTTTTGTTTTTCATGTACATGTGCATGCTGGTCTCTACATTGCCCGTAGGAGTGAATGTGTGCGTGTGAGTGGTTGTTTGTCTGCGTGTTGGCCCTGCGATGGACTGGTGACCTGTCCAGGGTGTACCCTGCCTTCGCCCGATTGCTGGCTGGGATTGGCTCCAGCCCCCCCATGACCCTGTTTGGGACTGAGCGACATAGAAGATGAATGAATGAATGAATGAATGAATGAGTGTGCATGCTGTGCATGAATATTTAGTTGTGTGAAGTTAGGTTTCCTCTGTTCTCACTGACAATGACATCTGGAGGAGCTCATCATCTGCAACTTACAGTGACTGTGCTCAGTAATCTACCCATTAGACTATATATATCAAATGATGATACAACAGGAAATCATTAGGCGTCACCATCTGGGGTCTTTGGTAGGTTGATGGCCTTTGAAATACATTGCTTTGGACTGAAGTTTTGACTTGATAGAACAACGGCTTGAACCCCGTCCATAGACAGACAAACCCAACACATCTGTTCATAATCATAGAATATACGATTGTCATATTCCGCCCCGATGTCCTGCTGGAGACTCTTATTTTGAAAGGAACTTCCTGGTTTCCACCACTCCACTCTTCCAAGCTTCTCTACTGCCAATCAGTGGCTGATTCAGCTCACTTACTGTTTGTCTCCAAACTACATATACCGCCTTGTGTCTGATCTATGCCCTGACTCTCTGGCGGCCTTGCGCTTGCCATTTGCCAAGCTGTAGTGTATTTTCAACCATCTGTTCACTGGACCTGTTTTCTGTCTGTTCTGACTGTCCTCCAGTGCTACCCCTACTGTGTTGCAGGTTGCCTAAGAACTACTTAAGAACTGTCTTTTTGATTTCGTTCCTTATTTTCTGACAGCCTGTTTTAGTCGACTTATTTTTTTTTATTCAATAACTAAGCACAGTTTTTATGCTTATTGTGTTTGGTGACTGCCTTTGGTGTATGAAGTATTAGTGCATGTGCACAGTTTTTGTTCTATAACTTTTGCTGACCTGTCCAGTTGCATTGTTGCAGTCTTCCTGTGTGGGGAATGAGTTATTGGCCAGCAAATGAGATTTATGTACAAAAGACTGTCATTAGAGGCAGTGAGTTATTTTATCAATATTTGCATGCTGATCTGACTGTTCCCTGCAGAGACTGATCACTGTGTTGATGGGAAACACGGATGTGAACAGGACTCTATGAGCACCGAAGAGTCATGTGTGTGTAAATGCAGAATGGGATACACACTCCGACCTGATGGCAAAACATGTCAGAGTGAGTCTGAGTGTTTATAAATAGATAATACACTCCACAAAGGAAATAATGAATATTCCATTTATATTGAAATAAGATGGGATACTACAGAGTAAAATCACTTTATTTTGTAAAACAAATTTTAGACTGACCTTGACCAAACAGTTCATCTAAAGAAGACATGTTTGTATGAGGCAAAGAACATAATCTTAGATCATGTTCTTAAATGTTGCTTATGACTGGTCCTGCCTCTATTCCAGCATTTGCATGTTACATAATTTTAATTTTTAAAACAGCCTTAATCCCAGTTCACACAAAAGTCCCCTCACCTCAGATTAAGGGAATATGCTGTGTGTACCACTATTCTGTGGAATACATTTGGTTAATGTTGATGACCAGAGAGGATCAGCAGTAAAGAATGCAAACTTCCATGATCTAAGTCAAATTAATGCTTGTCTCTGTACAACTGAACTCCAAGGTCTGGACCTGTGTCAGACAGTGGGCCATGGCTGTGAGCACCAGTGTGTCAGCACCACTGACTCCTACATCTGCAGGTGTTTTGAAGGATTTCTGTTGGCTGAAGATGGGAAGAGCTGCAGAAGTATGACCTTGACCTTTCATATAGAAGATTGCCTTCAAAATGTTATTTGTATAAAGCAGCTTGACATCTATGTTTGTGACAGAACCAGAGTGTGGCGATGGAGTCATGGATCTGGTTTTTGTGATCGATGGCTCTAAGAGTCTGGGCCCGGCCAACTTTGAGCTGATCAAACAGTTTGTAAACAACATTGTGGACACAATGGACATTTCCAAGACAGGCACACATGTTGGCCTCCTTCAGTTCTCAACCAAGGTCCGCACTGAATTCACCCTGGGCCAGTACACCACAGCAGAGGACATCAAGCAGGCTGTTAGGCGGATGCAGTACATGGGGAGAGGTTCTATGACTGGCTCAGCGTTGCGTCACATGTTTGAGTCCAGCTTTTCAGTTAAAGAAGGCGCCAGGCCGAACACCCCACGTGTTGGCATTGTGTTCACCGATGGAAGATCACAGGATGATGTTTCTGAATGGGCTAATAAAGCAAAGAACTCTGGTACACACTTGTTCACCCTGTCAATTATCGTGACCTTGCCATCCAGCTTGTGACAGTTAGTTGCATTAAATATTTGAATCAAATTTAACTGTATTCTAATGGCAGTCTGTTTTCTTTTACCTCCAGGGGTCACAGTATATGCCTTGGGTGTTGGCAAAGCCATTGAACAGGAACTGAGAGAAATAGCCTCGGAGCCTGCGGAGAAGCACCTTTATTACGCTGAACATATTGAAAAAATGGGAGAAATTGCAAAGAAGCTCAAGTCCAGGATATGTGACGGTACTCCACACATAGCTGTCTCTGACTCTGTCAAACGAGAGGCTCCACCAAACAGGGTCCTCAGAACTGTCAAAAACTCTTCTGTTTAAAATCTAAACTAATATTAATAGATTACTAATAACTCTGTTCAATGTTATTTCTGTTCACTGTTCTGCACAATTTCATCTAAAGCTGTCCCTGGAAATGTTCAGTAAATTATTCTTCCCTGAAAATGGTGCATCCCTACTGCTCTTATCAAATCAAATCAAAATGTATTTATATAGCACTTTAAAAACAACATCTGGTTGACCAAAGTACTTTACAAGGGCAAGGTAAGAACTAAAATAAATAATATCAGTACAGGAATAAAACAACATAGAAACATAAACACACAATTATGATTAAGGGTAAAGGGTAAACAATCTAAAGAGGGCCTTCACATTCCAAATGATACCTCAAACATGGCAGATAGAGAATACAGATGTGTTGAAGCTTAGCTGATCCTGCTGTCTTCAGTGTAGCGAACGTACGCCACAGCTCAGACACTTCAGCCCAGCAGTGATCAGCCAGTGTGATCAGTCCAGATGATAATACTGATCAGGTGGGTGCAAGTGCCTGAGCTGTGGTGTACATTCTCTACACCGAAGAAGTTATGCCAAAACAACAGTTCTCTATCAGCCATGTTTTTTAAGATAAAGAATAAAACTTTGAGGCATCTTTTGGAGTATGAAGGCCCTTTATTGGCTTTGTTTGGCAAATCCTTGCTGAGGGCAGTTTTTTAAAATAATAGTTGAGCAAAAGGTTTAGAAAAGAGATGAGAGAGAAATGATGCACAGAGAAGATGTTCTGATCTCTCATTGTTTCCCTGCAGACAAACTGTCCAGTCAGAAGGCATGTCAGTGTGAGAATGTGATAATGTTTCAAAACCAGGTCACTGAGACGCTGAAGAATCTGGAGCAGAATGATATCCTTTTCTGATGTGCTATCAAACCCACATCGACATTCAGTACATTTTTTGGGGTTATATTGAGAAGATAAATGATAAAAGAGTGAATGAATGACAGCTGTGTACGATGATTCTGTTTAGCTGATTTAGATCAACAACAAAAACAGTCAGACTGCAGGTGATTACAGCTTTGTCTGGATATTTGCCTCTGACATACTTTTCCAGGTCAGATGACTTATAAGTGCGAAAATGATTCATGTTATCAGTTGTGCGCCCTGTGTTTTTAAACCTTGAATAATACAGTATTATTAGTAGTCAGTAGGATTATTAGTCCAGTATTGTGTCCAGTAAAGGACAAAAAAGACTGGTGCATGTTTAAAACACTGTTCAGTGGTGTGTCTGTTTTGGGAGTTTGGAAACAAACACATGTCAGAAAGACTTAAGTCGGTGCACTGTAAAGGTTTTGTTTCACGTCTAACAAGCAAACTGCTTTAACTAGAACACAGACACATTTAACAGGACAAAAATAATGCATCTCCTTTTAGCTTCCTATAAATTGTAATCATAAGCAAAGCTGCAGGCATTAGAAATAAGCACATTAAAATGACTGACAGAGATACAAAAGGAAAACATTCATACCTCTGTTCAGACAATGAGCATGAATGGTGGTCAGAGGAACACACTGTGCATAATACTACATTGAAGGGATAATATAGCATTAATATTAATGGTTAACTGTAATTGCTCTTAATTTAAAACAGAATTCAAGTGAGTTTAGGTTTTGAGCCCCTCATGAACCTTGATAAGTTCAATAAAAGTACTAATAAAGCACTGAAATGTTCTGCATTTGAAATAATACTTTATCAACAAAATATATTTAAAGGATTAAATGTAAAACTATTGGTTTGATAGTAAAATGGCCCCTGTGACATTTAGTTCTCAGTTCTTGTCTTTAATGTTGTAACTAGTTGAAGTGGAGCTAGTTTTATTTACTGTACATAGAGTTTAGTCCAGGGGTCAAATATTTTATAACACATAATTTAAACGTTTTGTGCATCAAATAGTTATTTCAACTGCTACTGAATTTGTAAAAGGCTTAGTGACAAAGACAAAGTTGACATGACACTGTTTGTAAGGAATTATATGACAAAAATGTCGGGTAACAGTAACTATATATTATATTTTGCACATAGTTTTTCTGAAACATAACTAGTGACTATCACTGGCAAATGCAGCAAATTGATGAACTTTGCTGCTGAATGTTGTAGATTTAAAATTAAGGAAGCAGGAAATATTGGTAAAGTACATGTACCACAAAACTGTACTTGTGTAATGTATTTGCATATAAGTATTCAGTTACATCCCTCTTGAAAAGGAGTAATAACACATCAGTACACAGATTTTAAAAAAGGAGATAAATCATTGTGATGTATGAAACAATATGTCATTGTTGAACAAAAGACTGTGAGCATCAGCTTTCGACAAAATAGAGGTAAATCAGATGGTCTGGGTAAACATACTGTACAGTGCATCAGCCTATTCAACTAAGAGACATGGCACTGGGAATTTGCACGTCCACACTACCACGCCAAAGTGTGGACACACTTTCCCATTGTCCAAACTTTTGAGTCATTTTCTGGTGTCAGGAAATAAGGTTTTCACACTTATTTGGTTATTTCATAGCCAATTCTCTTTAAGGAAAGGCAGTCCCATGCCAAAGAAATGTCCTAACTTGGCAGATTGTGTTCTTCATTTGTCCTTAACATGCTTACTTGAAGCCATGTCAAAGAAGCTGGAGACACTCGAGAATCAACTTGTGCTCAAATGAACAACAGGCTCCATCCGTGCCTCTTCTAACCTGCAGTGCAGCATTCACAGAAACCCTTTAATCCTGTTCAAGAACCTGCATTGAAACATATTCACATGCATTGCTTTCTATTGAAGCTCTATTCACTTTTATATACAACACAATGTAATTTTGTCTGTAATATTCTTTATGTATTGCCAAGTCACGTAAATAACTCTGTGTACAGTAATCTCACAAATAAACATTTGATCATGTTTGTTTGGTTTTGTGATGATCATACAGGCAACTTGTAGCATACTGTACCTTGACCAACTCCAGTAAACTACAACAATTTAACTTGTCTAGTAAGAAATCTGTGTTCTACGTGTGCTATCCTACACATGGCCACAGGGTGGTGGATCTCCTCCAGAGGGGAAACTCCTGTAAAGGGCCAGGCATGCACACATTTGCCTCCTCCTACAGTATGAATAGTGAGACAGTGTCAGGGAACACAGTGCACTGGCAGCGCTCAGCTGCATGCTCACAACAGATCGTTGTCTGGGGCAAGAGGGCAGCAGGCCATGCATGAAGACACAAACAGAAAAGAGAAAATGGTGCCCTGCTTCTCTTAGGAACTACTAAAGAGAGTTTGGCTGCCTGTGTTTTCACTGCCAGACAGTCCCTGTCTTTGCTAACAGGGTGTAGTGGGATTTGTGTTAGCCTCTGTAATAGCTTCCAAGTCTTTTTTCCTTTGTGAAACATGGGGTGCTCCTCATCCAGTGAAGAGACTGTTGATCAAGAGAAGAGACCAGGTACAAAGCCAGAGGAGAGCAATGGAGACACAGTGGGTAAGTAGTAAAGTGTCATTTATCTTTGATTGCTTGTGTGTGTGTGTGTGTGTGTGTGTGTGTGTGTGTGTTTTGAACCGATTAGCATGAAATAAGATACATTTAAATTCTCAGGATATGTACAGGAGTTTGCCCAACTTACTTTAACTCAGCCAGTTCTTGCTCCCGGTAGGTCTGGCACACTGTGCTTTCTCATGGAGAGAATTTGTCATGCTGTGCTACTTTCTCATCAACACCCAGAAGTAGCTGGCATTTATTTTTAGTCAGTCACTTCTGCCTGACATCCAGATTTACTGATGAAATGAGGCATAAGAAGGAGCTGACTTGTATGGTCGTGTTTAATTCCCAGCCCTATTCATCTAGCTTTGAAAAACTTCGTTAGGAATGCATGAAACTCGCACAGTGGCACTGTGTGAAAGCCAGCTGGGAGTGTTTAATCCATTTGAAACCTGAAGCAGGAGCTGCAACCCAACCTGTTTGCTTCTGTACTTGAATTTTCCAACAACCTGGCATAATACAGGCTGCATTGATTGCATTGACTTGATTAGTTCAAGTCAGTATTATTTATGCCTATCCTCTGTGCCCATGCACAGCACTTCCTTCTTCCACTATGTCACTGTATGATGTTTGTGTCAGGCCATTGTCTGCCTTGCCTTGTTTTGCCTATTGTATTCTTTGCCCATGAAGGCTTCTCTGAATGTGGATAAATGGGTGGGGAGATAGTTCATATAGTATACAGTCTGTTTAAAGAACCAGCTGTATGCCATCCAAGCCCCCACTGGTCCCATCCTGTGTCTGGGCCCCTAGCTGTCCGTGTCCCTCCTCCCGACCTCATGCTTCTGGCCAGCCATGCCACTGTTTTGACAGAGATCTTTGTCATAATTGGCTTCTAAATCATGTTGTCACAAAAGTCATCCATCTATGGAAAGGTTGTCTCTGTCTCAGGCCAAACACACATTCAGATTTTTCAACAGCAGCTCTGGCCTAGTGTTCAGACAACAGCTTTCTAGTCTGTGTGATAAGTTGGTGTGTGTGCATGTCTCTTAAAGAATAGAAGACTGATGGAGAACATGTTGGAAATCTTTTAAAGACAGTCAAATAGCTTTCAGGATTTAAAGGTTGTAGAAAAAGTTTATAAACACCTTACCTTTACAATTCTACACTCTTAGTTCAAATAAATGTGATATTATAAAACTCTTGCATTCACCTAAATACTTTGCATGTTCTCCCACTGGCTCATTTTGATTCGAGTTGCCAGTCTGTCACATTCCCTTCCACCTTCACTCTCAGTTGTTTTTACACCTTCTGACAGAAAAAAAACATCAGGAAGCTGCAGCAACCAAACTATCCACCCATTCAGCCAACTGAACCTCTCAAGTTTCTCTCATTTGTGAACGATGTCCACTCATTTGTCCATAAAATAATTATAGACACAAAGCTTGAGCTGGGCTGCTGCGATTCTTGTAACTAGATGTGCATGGAAGTTCCTGACATTTGAGTTAACATATCCAAGCCCACTATTGTTCCTCGTCTAGCTTCTCCCAAGGCTTGATCACGCCCACAGTTATACAAATAAGGCTCAGGAGATAAGGATAAAGTTATAGGCATCTGTCCTATTTGCACATACTGTATATTTGATTTCCTCTGAGAGTGAGAGTGACTTTCATGTCTTCAGCGTTTAGACAAAGACAGGCTTCAGTAAGTCATCGTTTTAGCTACGGAATGAAAGGTTTTCCTCTGCATGCATTCTGTGTGCCCTGTATTGCTTATTTCACATTGTGTTCCATGATGAGAACAAGCTGAACTTCCACTGTTTTCCTGCAGTTAGGTTTACAAATCCAAATTTATGTTGTGCTCCATGTGCACATAAAATGCATTGTTTAAAATATGTTTGGTGTAATCATTAATTTTACCATTGTATAATTTTAGCAAACTTTCATCACATTATTATTTAGAAATCAGTTTAGAAATAAATGCAATGTATTCATTCAAGGGAGGAGCATACATGAACATACACAGCATCCTACAATACAGCACCTAATTCTTGGATGATTGAACATCTTAGTTCAGTGCATTGTATGGAAGTTGACCAATGAACGACAGATGTGGTAATTTGTTAACAAAACCATTCAGGCCATTAGACTAGTTCAGGAGATTCCGACTGCCCACCAAATTTCCAGGTCATTCAAATGAAAAATCATCCTGAAGTGTTTTTTGTTGCTCAGTGTTGTCATGCAGTCAGGGTTACATACAGTCTTATGCAAAAGTTTAGGCACCCCTTGATAAATAACAGATTTTGGTGATTTTTTATTTGAACAGATGTTAACACAGTTTCTCTTGGAAATGGAAAAAATGCACAATATTTTCTGCAAACAGTGATGCATAGTTACTTCTTATGCCATAAATTGAACAAAAATAAAAAATAAAAACATGATTATGGCATGGTGCAAAAGTTTGGGCACCCTAAGAGTTCCAGAGTCTCAAAGTCTCTCACAAGGTATCAGACCTTAATCAGCTCGTTAGATCTGATGCACAGCAACAGCTGTCATTGGTAAATGCCAATTTCAAAGCTGTACAAATACTTTGACTCTTCAAACCTTGTGCACACACTTGTGGACACCCAGCAACCATGGGTTCCTCTAAGCAGCTGTGTAAGACCCTGAAAATGAAAGTTATTGATGCCCACAATGCAGGAGAAGGCTACAAGAAGATAGCAAAGCGTTGTCAGCTTGCAGTTTCCACAGTAAGAAATGTAATTAAGAGATGGCAGATCAGGGGAACTGTGGAGGTCAAGATGAGATCTGGAAGACCAAGAAAACTCTCGGACAGAACTGCTCGTATGCTGGTCAGAAAGACAAATCAAAACCCCCATTTGACTGCAAAAAACCTGCAGGAAGATTTAGCAGACTCAGGAGTGGTGGTGCACCGTTCCACTGTGCAGCGATGCTTGCACAGACAAGGCCTTCATGGAAGAGTCAGCAGAAGAAAACCTTATCTGCGTCCCCATCATAAAATCCAACGTCTGAAGTATGCAACAGGACATCTACAGAAGCCCGATGCGTTTTGGAAACAAGTGCTGTGGACTGATGAAGTTAAAATAGAACTCTTTGGACACAATCAGCAAAGGCATGTTTGGAGAAAAAAAGGAGCAGCATTTCATGAAAAGAACACCTTGCCAACTATTAAGCATGGGGGTGGATCTATCATGCTCTGGGGTTGTGTTGCAGCCAGTGGCACAGGAAACATTGCACGGGTGGAGGGAAGAATGGATTCCACTAAATACCAGCAAATTCTAGATCAGCAACTGAAAGAACTGAGGAAAATCTGAGGACTGGGGAAAATCCTAATACAGGTTCTTTTTTTGTTGTACCTGTATTGACAGCAGTCAGAAAAGGTTACATCACAAAAGATGCACAAACCATTGAGGAACAGATGCAGCTGCCTGTGCAGACTGCCTTACCAGGTCATCTTCAACCAGAGACCGATGATGTTTCAGAGGCCATACTAGTGGCCCTGGAGGCCCAGGAGGACCTTGGCTCTGGGGAGGACCTTCTGGCTGCTCCTGAACCACAGCCAGATCCTGCTGTTTTTGAAGCGCAAGATTCAGAGGCTCCGGGTGCTGCTCCAAAAGAAGTCTGCTCTGAACCCGAAGCTGCTGTAGTGGGGGTGGAGGCACAACCTCCTGTGGATGAAGAAACTTTAGAGGATATGGCCATGCCTGAGGTCAAAGTCTTTGTTGAGGCTAAAGAGGAGGCCCCCAATGTTGAGTCTGTTGCAGTAGTGCAGACAGAGGCCACTGCGGTTAACGAGGGAGTGTTTGCTGTGCCAGCTGAGACAACCCCTGCTGTTGAACCTGTTGTATCTGAGCGAGTAGAGACTGTGGTGGCTGAGGAAGGGGCTGTAAATGTGGACACCAAATCCTCAGAACCAGGTGAAACTTCACAATCAGCACCAGGTAAGGCTGTAGTACCAGAGGAAACTTCAGCATCAAGTGAAGCCTCAGCACCTGGAGGGGCTGCAGAGCCTGTAACAGACAATGAAATTGCTGCAGCAACTATTCCAGAGATGTCTCCAAATACTTCAGTCACAACTGGGCCCCAAGCTGAGTCTTATCCTGAGACTGAAGCTGAATCTGTTGCTGCTGAGCTCCTCCAGGTGGCAGAGACTCCTGCTTCCACAACAGCTGTTTCCAGGACCCCTGCAGAAATAGTCCCAGAAGCATCACCAGCAGCCGTCACCTCAGAGTCCATAGCAGGCAGTGCAACCCGAGCAGAGGCTCCTGTGGCTGAACCCACCCCATCGGACACTGAAGCACCCTCAACACCAGCTCCTGCTGCTAATCCAGCCTCTGAACCCTTATCTGAAGGTATAAAACACTAATGCTTCAAAAACATTCTTTTTCTTATTCTAGTGTAAAATTTCAATCATTTCTTGGCATGCTCAAATAAAGAAACAACTCTTAGGGCCCATTTTTAATTACTCCTACAGCAAATATTGAAAAGTATATTTAGACTTGTATTTAGCCATTTAAAAATAAGTTTCTTCATATTGGACAGTTCACAAACTACGATCCATGGTCACATTTCTTCAAGAGTAAAACTATTAGCGACTGAAGCGTGGGAATACAGTAGGATTCATGTAGATGATAGCTACCATTGTTAAGGAGTGTTTTGTATGTTTTGAGGGAGTTCATGAAAGACTTTGCTGCTCAGTGAATTACTTGATTAAACATAGACTTCTCTCCCTAACAAACCTGTCACACTAATGCTGACTTTTAGACGTCATTGCTTGTTGCAACCTGCTTGATTAGGCATGAACTGACAGCTTTTGGGTGGAGGTCAAACATTGCCAGTGGCTTAAATATTTGAGAAATATACTGCAAACATCCGTTATACACTAAGCATGCAAACAGGCAGACAGAGGTCAGAAGGAAGATGTGTCACTTAGTGACAGAGCAACAGTTATATGAGAAGATCTTATTTACATTCAGGTAAACAATTAGTAGTCCTTCACATGTATCAGCAGCCAATCCAGCTTCTTGTCATGCATTTGATCAAAGCATGAAAGATGGGTTTTACAACATCAGCCCCTCAAAGGGGCTGCCATTGGTGACTAAGCCAGTATCCAACACATGCATGTTTATAGACACCAAGCTCCCAGTGAACCATTTAACCAAACAATCTTGCACCAAACAATCCCTCACATAGGCTCCTGTGTGTAGCCCTGTGATTGGCTGGTGCTGACAGAATGAAGAGGATATTGTTGGACCTGTGAGACTGAACGATTATTGCAGGATCATGTTGTCAGTTCCAGTCACGCATCTCTCACTCGGTGTGCTCTGTCATGAGCGCAGAATAGTCATGCCCTGGTGCTTCACATTACTGCAGACAGTATAAATGTGCAGGTGTGACTGAATTCCATCATAATTTGGAAGAAAATCCATTTTCAGGGCTTATTTTAAAGAGAAATTCAGTTGTTATAAGATTGAGCTAACATTCTCTTCACCGACTTACAGTATATATCACAGCATCTGTTTTATCTCCTATACAGCACCTACTGATGAGATATTTCAGAATGTAACTTGTACATATGTATATACTGTAGGGTTTACTCAGTGTGGATGAATTTAATTACACATACATGCAGCAGCAGAGTCTTTATGTATTTAGCTGTGATGTGCAAAACGAGATCTTTTCACTACAGAGTATAACTGTTTTCAAAATGTAGGTAATGGCCACAGAATACTGATGGCTATTGAATTTGTTTACTGAATATATTAATTGTAAGTGATCAGTTGCGGTGTGTAAAAGGCAACAGTCAGGGTTCTCAGTCACACTTGACTCTTGGAGAACATACTGTACATTCAGGCCAGAGACGCCCCTTCAGGCAGCACATGCAGAATACTGCTCTGGTGTGGAAGATGTTGCTTGAGACTTTCTATCTGGAGGGTATGCTGTGTGCCTGCACACCAATTACTATACAGTATAGTGAATATGTGAGTGTTAAGAGGGCAAGTAAATCACTAGTAAACCAGTTCAGCAGAACCAGATGTAGTTAAGGAGGAATGTTAACTCTTCACTTGATTGTGGCAAAGCCATGTCAAACAAGCTCAAGGTGTCATCAGATTGAAAGACTTGAATGTGGCTTGTACTGAGTGAAAATGTCATGCATTGTTTGTCTCTCAATGTGTGTGCAGCAGTGTGTGCAACAGACGAATTTCAAACCAAAAAGGAGGACTGACTTGGTAAGAGCCTAACCATAACTCACACACAAACCCAGTGTATGTGCTGCAGGATCAGACTCACTTTACTTACTGCTGGAGAGGAGCTGTCACATCCATAGGAACACAGTATGCCTTGTATATCAGATGCTTCAAGACTGCCCATTCTTCTCTTATCTTGTTTCAGGTGGAAGATGTCAACTGGAAGAAAAACATGATGAAGCAATAAAACAAACAATTCATTTCCAGTATTGACTAGATAACTAATATGCAAGGTGCCTTAATAATTTATCTTTTAGGAAAGATCAGAATTTTCCCAGTATTTGAAAATACAAACCCTTATGAAGTGTTTTTCTACAGAGACCTGAAGGGTCTGGAGCCACACGAAGGCTTTTGTGCTCCAAGCGCTATGAAAACATGTAGGATAGGAAATATAAGACAAGATGGTGCAATAGTCTTGTTTTAGATGTTGTCAACCCAACAATGAATGGAGTTGGCCTATTAAAGTGTAGAGAATGATGCTTACAGTAAAGCTCTGGCTATTTAAAATGTAAATTCTGCCATGTAATTACATGTAGATGTACAAATCCACATTTTGGTTTGGTGTTTACACATTATTTAACTGCAATCTTTGTAATGTAATGTAAAAGGAAGGACAATGCTGATGCTATGTAAGAGAGTGTACAGTCATAAGCACTAGTGAGACAAATTCACGCTGTCCTAAAAAACCTTTTTGATATAACTTCATTGGTTTACATGGGAAAATAAATTAAATATACATATTTGTTCTGTGTCAGGGAAAAAATACATGCATAATCAGATGCATATAAAAAAGATGCGTGGTCAGGCCAAGGATTTACAGTAGTTGATCCAAGTACTGATATGTCACCTTGCTGGTTCATTTTATGCAGCTGTGCTCTAGCTGACAGATGTTCATGACATTCTATCTCTGAAAATGAGGGTGTTAATGAGGCCTTGTAACATTGATGCCATATGCACACTGGTTTAGCTTTGAGTGCATTATATTCCACATATAGTGGGCAGGGCATTTCAATTTTCAGTAGTTTTACATGTTTTTTTTTTAAATGAGTCAAAGTGAAAAAATACTTTTGATTGCACATGATATGATGGACAATACTGGCAACCTGTACAGGGTGAACCCCGCCTCTTGCCCAATGTCAGCTGGGATAGGCTCCAGGCCCCCGTGGCTCTCGTCAGGATAAATAGTATAGATAATGGATGGATGGACGATGGACAGTGTGGGAGCCACATTTTGTTTTGATATCTATTTTGTTTGTTTCTCGGTAGTACATTCACTCTCTGAGCTTTGTCTATGATTAAGCTAACCTTTTAGTGTACAGAATAAAGATTTACTAACTAATATGTGTGTATTTTTTGTAAGTGGGACTGTATTGTAATGTATGTCACTGCTGTGCTTCTGATACCCCAACATGTTTTATACTTAAAGGTATGTGCATAAAAGCAGCCTGCTTTAAGTGACTGATGCTTACAGCAGAATAGAGTGCAGAGTGTTAGCTGGCCAACTACATTATCCAAAGGTAAAGGACTGACCTTTAAAATATTAGTTTAGCATAGGCTATGGCCTGTAGATCCACAACTTTTAAAGGTGAAATGTGAATGTAATTGATAGAGGCAGAGTCATTTTAGAAGTTAGACCACATGTCTATCTAACAAACTGTGATTTTTTTGTTGTTGTTGTGCATAGTCCCAGGAACTGGGATAGTATTCCCTGTGAAGGACTGTGGTTCTTGTTACCATTGCTAACTCTGAGAGACGAGACAGTCCAAGTAACTTCAAAGCAGTGCTGATTTATTCAAAGGATCACAGGTAAAATTAACATTACACGCTCAGGTATCTTGCACCTCCATACTGCACGCAGGCAGATGTAAGATGAAAGACCCTGAACTCACCAGGCCTATACATTATATCCCCTCGGTTGGGCTAGCCCCATACTACACAGAAACGTCAACCGAGACGTCTCTGTTACCAGCTTTGCAGCTGGCCATAGCAGTAGTCAAAACATGAAGCAAATCAATGTGTGTGTGTGTCTGTTGATTAAGTGGTGTGTAGCTAAAAACATTCTCACATGACCTCTAGTGAAAAACCTAATACCTGGTATTCAAATAAGTAATGACATTATGTGCACAAAACGTGGCCAAGCCAACCGTGTCATTTAAAATGAATTCATATTTTGCAAAAGGCTGACGTGTTTGTTGACGGTAACCGTTATGCTTGTTTTTTTTTTTTCGTATTTACACCAAGAAAGAGGGAATAATTTCGTATTGATTTGTGTGACGGTAGAAGCTTGGTGGCATTTTTTGCAACAATGCCACCAAAGACGGCAAGATGAGAACCAAAAGCTGATGAGGAATATGTTTCACTAGCGCAGGTAATGGAGTTACTGCAGCAGCAAAAGGAAATGTACACAGCGTTGCTGAATCAGCAACAGGATAATTTCAAGAGTTTCGTCAAAGTCATTATGGACTCAACTAATCTCAGACTGGATTCTCTGGCTAGAGAAATGCAGGACATAAAAAACAAGTCTAAAGTTTACACAGAAGGAAGTTGATGACATCAAGGTTTTCAATGGTAAACAGGACGAGCATAACAGCGCGATGCGGTCCGACATTTACAAAACTTGTGAAAGTTTAATGACAATAACCGATAAATGTAACAAATGTAATTCTACAAAAATGCCTATTCTGAGGAAAAAGATAGCACACCCTAGCCCCTAATAGCTAGTGTTACCTCCTTTGGCTGAAATAACTGCAGTGAGACGGTTCTTGTAGCCATCTACCAGTCTCTGACATCAGTCTGAGGGAATTTTACGGAGTAGTGCGCAGTCCCATACATCAACTGGCCGGCCAGAAACTATAGGTAAGCGGAACCTTGGTTTATACATAAACTCCGCACATTGAATTAATTCTAAATTAAGGCTGATGTGTGGGCTGCCCACTCTTAATGTTCTAAATTGGATCCAAAACAGTAAGGTTAATGAAACACTTTTTTTTCTGTTTTTGAATGCTGTGCTGGTTTGTTCATTGTCACATGTACAGTTAAAAAAAGCACAGTTTCATTTGAGGGGAGTAAATGAGTGTCGTTGATCACAGAATTTGATACCAATAAGGGACATAAAATTCATGTTTTATAAGTGGATTTCTGCTACGTGGTAGCAGTTGTCTCCTCAATTTTCCCATTTCCTTTTTAATTTCCCTCCGGCTGGAGCAGAAGCAGAGACTCATCTCAACAATAATAGCAGTTGTCTCCTTTATTTTCCCATTTCCTTTTTAATTTCCCTCTGGCTGGAGCAGAGGCAGAGACTCCTCTCAACCAAACAAATGACTCTCTGATACACACACACATGATAACAGGCACAGGGAAAATTGCTGGTCTCAATGTGTGGGTGGGATAACTGTACAAAAGGCTAATTAAAACGTTTTTCCACAAGTGTATCACGCTGGACAATAGGTTCATTGTGAGAATTTGTTGTGGAGTGAACGTGCCTTGTACAGCAGTGTAAAATTCCGGGTGAGAAATAGGATTAGTGGGAAAAATTGCATCAGTTAGGGTGACTGCTTGTCCTGTTGAGATAAAATGGACAAATTGATTGGGAATGAACCCCCAGAAATTGTGCGCAGAAGAGCTTAGCCTTCTATAGAAGCTTCACACTCTGATCAGTTTCCACTGGGCCAAGAGTCTCTCATAAAGGACAGCGTCACGTGTGGCATATTAATTTTTCATGATGGCTGACTGTGATGTGATTCAGGACTGGAAAAATTGCAAATCAGGCACATTGGGTGCTATCTTGTATCAATTGTTGAACAAATGGCTTGGCACACAGAATTTAAACCAACATTGTAGTGAAACAGAATGATTTGTATGTCGGACTCAAAAAATGGGTCAAATGGGTTTGTTTGGGTCCTATGACGAGGCCCCACCAGCAGATGGGGCTGTAAAACTGTTCATTAAACAGGCTGCTCGCCTGACTGCACAGGCACGTCTCTGCCATAGGACAGCGAGTTTGTTACAGAGGCACAAAACAGAAGCTAAACTTAAACAATGTGAGACATTTCTGCAAGACTGTGTCTGTTTTCTGGGCGAGTTTGAAAAAATCCAGAGAGCCACATCAAGTGTTGGAACAGCGCATGTCCCTGATACTTCCTCCTGTGACACGCGGGGACACACACCCTCGGCTCCTCCCCCTCACACACAAGCTGCAGAGGAAGACAGAGAGGAGGCAGACTTTCAAAATAAAGCTCACCACCAAATGCCATTACGTGCTTTTGCTGATACTGAACACAGTGGTTCATCATTAGTTGTGATTAAAGGAGGTATTTTAAAAAGTTTTCCCGGTGAGGAGGAAGACTGGACTATTGCGCAACAGTATTTAGATGGCGTGCTGCAATATCTGGGGCACAGACTGCCCCGTGCAGTGACGAGCCAGGCACTTCCAGTCAGAGGAGTGCAGTGGGCTCAGACAGTATGAAGAATTTGCTGAAAGAGTGTAATCCTTTGGTGAAAACTCAGACTTCTAGTGTTTGTACTGCTTCTGCTACAGGGAATAAAAAGCATGGTTGTCACAGGG